TTTTTCTTTTGGTTGATTCTGGGGTCTTTTGTCTAAGTTGGGTATTGAGAGCGACGACAGAAAAGAGGGAATTCTGCTTGAGGGAAGTAGCATTTTGGGAGGAGATCGTCAAGCTTTTGAAGGAGTGACTGTTGTGAGAACTGGTTTCTGGGTCAATCTTTGTAGGAATTTCAACACAGTATGTCCAATTCAAATTTAAACAAGAAACCTCATGGCCTTAATTCCTACTTTTGGCTAATATGCTTGGGGTTGAATTCCCTAGATCTGCATTGGTATTTTTAATGTTATTTCCTCATTTCACGTAAAAAAAAAAAAAGAGAAAGCTTTAAAACAAAAATCAAAGTATCAAACCTTAATGTAACCCTTCTCAATGAGAAAATGAGCAACCCCAGGACGTTAATGAAACAGAAAACCAGCAACAGAAAAGCTGAACCCAAGACTAGTCACCATTCTTCTCTCCTTCTCAACCTCTATACCTTCACTCTCTGCACCTAGATAACATCCAGCGCTATCTCATCTTACATCACAACCCCAATTCTCTCCTTGTATTGCTTCGACCACTCCCGCCACCATTCTTGCTTTTCTTCCTGGGGTTTTTACTGACAAAAGGGATGAGCTTGGAGGAAAAAGACGAGGGGAAGAGGATGAAAGGAAAAAAAAACAAAAAGCTTCTGCAACATGTGGTCCCCAATGGTCAAAAGGTCAAAAAAAGTACTTAAATATTGAGCTAACAGTTGACCGCTTGCATATTAACGGTCAAAACAAACGGCCCCAACAATGACGTCCAAATAAGGACGACATTCAACAGAAAATGGGAAGTAGAGGGATGACAATGAACAATTTGTTAGTAGAAGGATGGACATGAACAAAAAATAAAAGTAGAGGGACGACAGATGGCTTTAACCACAGCAATTATTGATTGGTGGGTTAAAGTTGGATAATGGATGCGAATTGAGGTCAATTGGGGGCAACCATCCATTATTATCAGAGTCTTTAGAGGCAAGCTGAAAGTATTCCTACCATGAAGTCGCATGTCGCGGTGCTGTCCAGTCTTTGCTTGGGCAGTCTCATTCCTCTCTTCGAATTCTCTAAACGCCTTGTCCTCCACCATGGCCTCCAGATCAGCTTCCTCATCACCACCACCACCACCGATGACTCCTCGCCATCAGCCGCGACCAGCCAACTCCTCCAGCCTTCAAACCTCCCTCCCGATCTCCACCTCATCCGCCTTCCTCCCGTTGATGTCGATAAAGTAACCAACAGTAAGATGCAACTCTTAACCCGCATCTGTACCATCACAGAAGAGAGCCTCCTGTCCTTAAAATCGGTCTTGATGGATATAGGCATCCCGAAAGCTCTTATAGTGGATCCTGTCACCACACAGGCTTTCGATGTTTGCAGTGAACTCTCAATTCCCGCGTACTTATTCAATACTAGCCCTTTTTCTTTCTTTGCCTTCTCCCTGTATTTTGTGGACCTTGATCCTACAGTTGAGGGTGATTTGGCTGATCTTCCTGAACCGATTCAGATCCCCGGTTGCAGTCCTGTACGAATAGAAGACCTGCTAGATGAAGTGCGTATCAGGTAATTAAAAAGGACTCAAGTAGAAAGATCATGTAGAGACGCATGCTTGTTTATTTCATTTTCCTTTTCATTCTTTCTTCTGGCACAGTTAAATAATGTTGGTCCATCTCAAAATCCGAATCAAAATTCCAATTTTGTAACTTTGATGACTGTCTAATTAACCTGATCACAACTACCTATTTCATTAATCAAGTTACTGCTAGCTTTAGTTGACACAAATATGTTGTTTTGTAATATATAACAGAAATAGTGATGAATATAAATGGTTTTTGTTTCACATGAGTCGGTGTCGTTTGGCGGACGGTATATTTTTCAACTCATGGGAAGATCTTGAACCGGTCCCCCTAAAAGCAATAAGAGAGAATCCATTCTTCAAGAGTGTGACACCGCCGGTTTACCCTGTTGGACCGGTGATTAAACAAGAGGAACATGATGAATCAGCAGCGGAATACATGTCATGGCTGGATGAGCAAACACCGAACTCTGTTCTCTTTGTAGCGCTTGGTAGTGGTGGAACTTTGTCAGGGGAACAGATGATTGAGTTGGCTTGGGGTTTAGAGCTGAGTCGGCAACGATTCATATGGGTGGTTCGTAAACCAACAGAAGTTTCTAGTTCAGGTACGTCTATTTTATATAGGTTAAATCTCTAATTTGTCTCTGAACTATTGCAAAGATTTTTGATTTAGTCCATGAACTAAAAAAATCCCTAATTTGATCCCTAAACTATTGTACGGATCCTTGATTTAGTCGCTACTATTTACCAATTTACCCCAAGTTGGTCCTTTCGTATAAAAATCAACTAACATGTCTTGTTATTAACGTGACACGTGACCATTAAATTACTATTTTTCGTTGTTAAGTTATTATTTTTCACCATTAAGTAATAGATACGTCAATTTTTTTTGTACGAAATGACTAATTTAAGGCAAATAGGTAAACAGTATGGACCAAATTGGGGGTTCGTACAATAATTCAGGGACCAAATCAATGATTTTTTAGTTCAAGGACCAAATTGGAGTTTGTATAATAGTTTAAGGATCAAATTGGCGTTTAACCTTTTATATACCGTTATTCTTGGAACATTCTTCTTTCACGGCAAAAATCAATATTTAGTCACTCACCTTATAAAGTTGGTAGGTTTTAACACCTTATCTTATAACATGACACTTTAGGCCTTTTACCTTACAAAGTTGGTAAGTTTTAACCCCTCACCTATACGAATTGAAGAAAATAACTCTCACCTAACATCAAATTATAACATTCTGTCAATTCTATTAGCTGACTATTAACATCCGTTAGCATTCTATTATAGAAAAACATGAAATTTAAATTCAATTTTATATGTTAGTTCCATTAACGGAATGCTAACGGATGCTAACAGTCAACTAACAGAACTGACAGTCAGCTAACAAAACTAACAAAATATTATAACTTGATATTAAGTGAGGGCTATTTTCTTCAATTTGTATAGATAAAGGG